AAAAAAAAAAAAAAAAAAAAAAAAAAAAAAAAAAAAAAGGGATCCTGGGGGGGGGGGAACGCAAGTCAGACTGTTGATGTCTCTCATTATTCCTTTTGTCTTTTGGCCACATGATATTCATAATTAGAAAATAGATTTCAGACTTCATTTTTTCTGCACACTCTTATATTTATTTTAATATGTACAAAAAAACCCATCATATAACTGATATTTTCATCTGTTATTTTTTAAGCTCCAAAACTTACCCCTTTCCTTCAACTATTGCTTCTTTAAGTTGTATGTAGGAAGCAGGAAAGATGCCCTTTCAAATAAGAAAAAGAAATTTATTGCCATTTGTTTTCCATATGTCCAATACAGTTTATAATTATAATTTCTTTTCTAGATATCAGTTTTGCATTACAATTACCACGAGACCAATTGGCAGAGGTAATAAGAAATATAATCCGAAAGATCTGGAGAACCTCAAATTGAACCATTCTATTATAAGTGTTTGTCTATGTTTATCCATTATACTATCATCCTAAATTTTGGATGATCTATGAAAATTGTTCATTAACATTTAAAAAAACTATCTTACTGATACTTTGCTCATGATTTTGAAGAACATTTCATTGATGATAATCAGTTTACAAGATCAGGAGCTATAACATTTTTGCTCCAAAGAATTTGCAATAATCCTGAACAATGAGCCTAAACAAGCCTTGCATTCTACTCCAACTTTCCTCCTCCTATGTATGTAGGGAAAGAGTTTGGAATCTTTATTTTCACTTTAGGCTACCTACTGTTGAACTGATGCACTGTAACACTGAGTAATAATGTATGTCACACTGACAAACCATAGTTCTATATACTCTCCCTCTTTCTCCTTATAAACTATGGATAAGTTGTCAACTTCGAATGCATTTTAATAACTATCCTATTTAGAAGGAAACAATTTCAATTAAACATGTTCGTTTACATTGGAATCCAGAATTTTAAATTCAAGAAGTAAATTCAACAAATCCATGTTGTTATTTGTTTGAAAAAAGGAGTGTTATAATCACCAGCATCACCCAATTAAAACTTTTATTTCATCAACATTTCTGCTTTATCTAAAAACTTTCAAACTATAATGAAATTACTTAGGAGGTTACTATAAATGCCTAAGCTTTTAAAAAATTGACATAATTAATACAGAAACAAAATACTTACTTTTTTTGATTTTTTCCTTAAAGTATAACCTCTGTACCAACCTAAAAAATAAAATGTCTTAATAAGCTTTTATAAACTAATTGGAAGATAAGAATGTCCAGAGTTACAACAGAACTTCATGTAAACAGATCTATTATCATTCATAAATGTTAGGTATCTTTGACATATAACAGCATATGCCCAGTTACTAATTTCCTGCTTCCTGATTCCTTACTGAAAAATTATAGATTGACAGGTATCTGAGCAAATGCCTTTCTTATAGTTTAAATTATTCAACATAAATCATAGAAGGATTAAACCCTCACCTCTCCAAGGGCAATAATCCTCATTACCCTCCATTTGCTTACAACCTAGTAAAAAGCTAAAGAGGGCACTATATGCTATGGATTAATATATCAGGTAACATGTCCCTAAAACATCATATAATTTCAGGATTACAATTCTAAAAAATAACAATAACAATGTTCTGACTTTGTGAAGTCTGAACTAACTTCAGTTACATTTATCCCTAAACAAAATTTTCAAAGTTTTTTTTTTTAATCACTAATTTATGTTTGTCCTTGTACCCCTGCCAAATTTGAGTGGGGGAGACATTTAGCTGGTGCTTTCTAGATCTTCCCAGAAAAGGCTGGTACGAGCTAAGGAACTTTAAGTCTTGTATTCCTTATCGGAGTTTGTAACATTTCTCATCGTATCTTCCACTGCAAGTTCCACAGCAGTGGAACTAGAATCCAACCTAGATTCGTCCATATGTTGTAGGCTACATATCCCTTTAATTCCAACATGGAGAAATCCAGATTAGAAAGATTGTCCTAGATTTTCCTATACAAGTCCCTTCTCAATTTGAAGAAAGAACTTGACCACCAGGATGAGTATCTATTCAAAATATTATATGTTTTGTTTTAACACTGCTTCAGTGAACAACTTCCACACCTTGAGCATAAACATCTACAGAAGACTTCTACTAATTTCTTGTTAGATGGACATTTCCACTGACATTAAAACAAATTATAAACCATTTGAGACTACTCCATTCACATGAAAAACATTATTTATAGCAAAATTATTTAAAATCTAGACAAGTTATACATTGAAATAGTTTGCACAAACATACAAGTGGGATACCTGATCTAGCCTCAATTCTAACTCTCCCCAGATCCCTCTGCATGGATAAAGGCCTTTCCTTCCCCCAATTTTTCAGTGTTACCTATAGGATATTTTTCAGATTGCCCTCACTGACTGACTATTGTAATATAATTATTTCAGCTTATCAAAACATTTCTCACATTTGTGGAAGCAATAATATGCCATGCCAGAGGAACAAAGTGGTAGTATCTCATTCACTGTGTCCCAATCTGCAACACATCTGAAAGTGATCAGCATCATGTGTTTTATTGCTAACAAGTCCATTCTGGTTTAGGATGACTATTTAATTAAAATAAATAAATAAAATAAAATCTCACAAACAACAAACATTCAGAATGATGGTGCTATGTCAGACAAATTGGGAGAGATCTTTCACACAAAATATATCCAATTCAGCAGAGAATTGGCAAGAACCTTTGCACTGTAAACTATTACAGTGGGGCAAAAAAGTATTTAGTCAGCCACCAATTGTGCACATTCTCCCACTTAAAAAGATGAGAGAGGCCTGTAATTTTCATCATAGGTATACCTCAACTATGAGAGACAAAATGGGGGGAAATATACCTCAACTATGAGAGACAAAATGGGGGGAAATATACCTCAACTATGAGAGACAAAATGGGGGGAAATATACCTCAACTATGAGAGACAAAATGGGGGGAAAAAATCCAGAAAATCACATTGTCTGATTTTTAAAGAATTTATTTGCAAATCATGGTGGAAAATAAGTATTTGGTCACCTACAAACAAGCAAGATGTCTGGCTCTCACAGACCTGTAACTACTTCTTTAAGAGGCTCCTCTGTCCTCCATTCATTACCTGTAGTAATGGCACCTGTTTGACCTTGTTATCAGTAGAAAAGACACCTGTCCACAACCTCAAAACAGTCACACTCCAAACTCCACTATGGCCAAGACCAAAGAGCTGTCGAAGGACACCAG